TCGACTCATGGTCCAATATGAAATATATTCGAGAATCAAAAATATTTCCAGATTTAGATTCGGATTAGAAAATAATTTAATTTGTAAGCAAATTTTTTGGTGAAATATCTGAAATATATATTTCGGTTGAACATTGATTATAAAAATCTTAAATCTTCAAAATTTGAGGTCTCCATGTTCTTTAGACGATTATGCTGATTGATTGCTTATTTTTAAGGGCATACTTCGTTGAATTTTAACAGAATGACCCATTGTGCCCCAGGGTCTGTCCGAATGTGCCCCACAAGTGGGGTACAGTGGAACACTTGACAAACGTTTTTCAAAGCATTTTGGTGGTCAGATGTGTTTCGCAAGGGAATTTCTTAGTCGCCGAATAAGAACTACATTTACCCCCCTATGCATTAATCCCGCAAAGTCATATGAATGTGCAGAATAAAGGACTCAAAATATGAAAATGAAAAAAAGTGTCCCAACCTTCCCCACTTTCCCCTATGCCAGTCACCAATCTGATGACAATATACAACAACTGACTGGAAATTGCAAAGTAATCTCTAAATGACTTGTTAAAACAAAAAACTCGTGGGCACCTGATTAGAAGTAAAATTAAATGGGCTGAAGAAGGGGAGCAAAATACAAAATGTTTTTTTGGTCTTGAAAAAAGGCATAAACAAGAAACATCTATTGCACAACTATGTGAAGGTGATAGAACTATCTCGGATCAAAAAGATATATTGGAATGTATCAAATTATTTTACACTGAATTATGTTCTGAAACATCATTACAGAATGTTGATGTGGATGAAATATTGCAAGGGATCAGAATACCACACATGGAACCTGAAGTTTCAGACTTATGTCCTGGTGTTATCTCAGAGGGCGCTTGTTTCGAGGCTTTGAAATCCATGAAATCTGACAAAACCCCCCGACTTGATGGTCTTCCAGCAGAGTTTTATAAGGTGTTTTGGGAAGATATTAAACATCTTCTGATGGCTAGCTACAATCACTCATTTGTTAAAGCGACTTTGAGCAAAAAACAAAAAAGGGGAGTAATTACCCTTCTTCCTAGGAAAGGACAAACTGAACATTGTATAAGCAATTATCGCCCAATAACGTTATTAAACGTGGACTAGAAAATATTGAGTAAAACATTAACAAACCAAATGAGTAATGTAATCAACAAAATTGTCGATCTTGATCAAACTGGATTTAATAAAGGGAGGAATATAGGGGATAATATTCGACTGATTTGTGATGTAATTGACCTAACTGTCGCTGAATCATTGCCTGGGGCTTTAATTTTTCTTGATATACAAAAAGCGTATGATAGTGTGAAATGGGATTTCTTGTTCAAAATTCCTCATATATTTGGATTTGATCCTTAATTCGTAAAATGGGTTAAAATTCTTTACAATGATATCAAGTGTTGTGTCACAAAAATGGTCATATTTCAGATGATTTTGGAATCCATAGAGGCTTAAGGCAAGGTGACTCTTTCAGGTGTCTTACATTTTTATTAGTAATCGAAATTTTTGCAAACATGGTCAGGCAAAACCTAAAAATTGAACCCATAAAATGGAGGAAAATTTCTATGCTTGCTGATGATGTAACTGTAATAATAATGTGGGGGTTATTCTGTCAAACAAAATGGAGGGTATATACATTTTCCACAAATATTAGACAAAGTCAAAAAGCTACTCCAGGTGTGGAAAACAAGAAATTTGACTTTTTTGGGGAGGATTTGCATTATTAAGTCTCTCATTCTACCCCAGATAATATATCATGCAACTGTTTTATCAATTGATGTTCCCGAAAGTTTTTTTAACTGAATTGAATAGAACTATATATGTATTTGTATGGGGTTCAACTTGGGTGCGGATCAAACGAAATACCTTGATTGGCCCCAAAGAAAAAGGAGGTATTAATATGATAAATATGAAAAATTTCATTGTTGCCCAGAAAATGAAATACATTCAAACACTTTTAAATGAGGATCTTAACCCAGTGTGGAAATTGATTGAGATGGAAGTGCTTGGCCAATACTGTTTTCAAGCAATGCTTGAAAGAAAATTGAGCTCAAATTCATACGTTCTGAAGCATTTACCTTCAACGTCCATTCGAAATGTATTTAAAAACTGGTATTTCTGTAAAAATGTGCTTTTTGATTGGAAAATGTCAAATTTTTGACCAACCTATATGGTACAACAAAGTATTTCTTATGCTTGAAAACAATTTTTTATCAAATCTTGGTATGAAATGGTATAAAAGCAGTAAGACACTTATCAAATGCGGGTATTCTGTTTACTTATAGAGAGTTGACTGAAAAATATGACATGCAATATAGTGATGTAGAGTATGTAAATATTATTCGCATCACTGAGTTTTACCTGACGATTGGTTATGCAATATGGGAAACTGTATTGATTTTAGTGTATTAGGTGACCCTGAAGAGAATGTATCTCATTTTATTTTCTGAAACATTCGAATCAGAAAAAGCAAATAAAAGTATCTATGAAAGGTTGAACCTGATCAAATTTATATCCCCTGATAAATCAAGAAAAAAATGGGCAGATCTTATTATTTTAGAGAGTGATTTTAATTGGAATAAATTGTATATGGATATCTTTTATTGTACTATTGAACCAAATTGCAATCTTTTCATGTAAAATGTTCCATGGTGCCATAGTACTAAACGATAGATTGTACAAATTTAAACTTGTTCCATCAGAGTCATGTGAATTCCTGTCATTCCAATGTTTGAAACTATCAGCCACCTTTTCTATGATTGTATAGTTGTTCAACAGTTTTGGGAAACTCTAAACATGTGGATATACTCAAAACAGGGATTAATTTTACTTTTCGAAGAGAGACTGCATGTTGGGATATGTTTGTAATTTTATAACAAATTGTGTAACTGTATACTTCTTGCTGCCGCGATTTATCTATATCGTTGTAAGATACAGAAAAAGAAACCGCTTCTTAATGTTTTACCTCATATCTGTATGAAGTGAGGGAAATTGAACGGATTATTGCATATAAAATTGGCAAAATAAAGAAACATGATCAAAAATGGAAATTTTATGATTACAATTACTGATTATCTTATATGATGAATTGTGGTATTGTTCATGATTTAGTGATTAATAATGTTGTAGATGTACCGATCAACTGTGTTTATATATTAATAAATATATACAAAAAAAAAAAGATTGTACATTACTCGCAAATCTATGATTTTCGATTCAGCGATGATGTGCCAAAAGTAAGAAAATTTTATAAAAAAAATGAGGCTGGTACCAGCATTAGTGATTGTCAACTCAGCATTCATTCTCTGCGCATGCCTTAATATCTCGGTACTGATCTAAGACAATACCGTATATATTATGACGTCGTATTTTTATTAGTAAAACTTGTTTTTCCCTGAATTTCGCGAGCTTTTAAATTTATGTTTCACCGTGTTGTTTTCAATTTTTGAATGAAACTAGAATTTGTCAAATATAAAAATAATTGTACACGTCACTACGAATTTCGGGTCCAACGATATAAGTATGAAACATGACATCATAGACTTGGTTAATTACAAATCAGTAAATTTACTGAATTTTCGTGACATAATCGTATCGTGTGCAGTTTCGTATAACTAGAGCATTATTCCTTTGTACAATCGATCTGTTATCATTCCATTACTTTGCGCTGATATGAATTACCGCTTGCTACGATTTTTAAAGGTTGTGAACAAAATCAACCATGTTCAAAAGAAGCTGATTCTGTGTCTTACATAATGGTCACTTTGTTGGCATAAGCAAAGTAATTTTTTCTCAATTTAAATACTGTTTGTCTAAATATTTCATTTTTATAACTAGATTATATTTGGAATAGATTTCGATATTTTATCATTATTGTCAAATGTTTTCTACTTGTATGTCAGGCTATAGAATTTGTGCGATCTCAACATCTACTTGCGCCCGAGGGAAAAACAACATAATCTCCACTTTAATTTACAAGAATATCATTTTGTCTGGGCCGTGGATAACATTACAGTATTTGGTAGCAAAGCCTGAAGCAAGATTATTTTTTGTAGTTCAAGCCTTTACAAGTATGCAATGATGAGACTGCAATATAAGAGTTTATACGAAATAAATATCCATGCTTAACAGTAAAGGCAGAATTAGACTGGGCTTTCACTATATGATCTGCCATTTGCAAAGAAAAATAGATAGTTACAGGCCGTCAAAAAAAATTGAAGAATATTATAGGAGTTATCGCGTTTAACTTTCAGTAATGGGTTACAGTATAACTGAATTTTTTTATGGATTCAAATTTAAGCGAGAGGATAGTAATCATGTTTAAAAAATAGAGTCGGATAACAAGTCTGGTGAAGAAACATGTACAATGATTGTAAAAATGGTTTCAAATCACAGGCGGATAATTTAGGTGTATTTTGTAGGTTTTACTGCTACAGTAATATTCCACTTCTTAGTCACTCAGTTTGCTACTCTTCATATTAAATGTCTGTATTGTTGAAGCCATACAGCGATTGACGGACAGATATGGATACAAAACAAAATAATATATCTAGGTCTATGTGAAATATATTATGTTATCAATTGGTTTTTTATTTAATTTTTTTTATCGAATTGTCATTATGAATGATTTAAAACATTTTTTTTTATAATAGAGTAAAGCAGAATGAAGACAATTAGGTTGTTGCTAATGCCTTTCTGCGGTTTCGACTTTCTTTTTCTTCTCTCGCGACTGGTAAGCGTTTATATTTTCTGTAATGTATTCGTTTATACAGTTGTACAATGTTTAGGCATTATAAGCCTTAGTTAAAAATAACCCTTTCAATGTCCAGGTTAGATAGAAATTTATAAAGAGACCTTTTTTCGGGTCGGAATAATAAAGTGTAATTTGAAAAATGTGTTGATATTGGAAGTTATTTATATTTGACTTGATTGTCTCACAAAATTAATTACTTCCAATTGTTTATTTCAGCTTGCTGGTGTTAAGATAAATGTATTAGGGACATTAGTAAAGTTCAACCCGGAAGAAAATGCCGGAAGTCTTGCGAAATAGATGAAGAATGCAAGGGCGCTAATAAAGGATGTCATTGTGACGATGTTTGTGGAATGTCATGTTTTAACATTGGTAAGTGTGCAATACAGATTACGCGAGGTAAAATGGCACAAAATATTTTAAGATAATTTGATAAATAATATTAATAATAAAGGAATAATAAAGGATGACATTGTGACGATGTTTGTGGAATGTCATGTTTTAACATTGGTAAGTGCACAATACAGATTACGCGAGGTAAAATGGCACAAAATATTTTAAGATAATTTGATGAATAATTATGATAATAAAAATGAAAAAATGCGCCAAAAACTATTAGCACACCTCAAATTAGTAGACCGATATAGAATTTATGATGGGAAAATTTACTCAAATCATAGTCAGGCTTACTCTCTTAAAGGCAAATGATACTGTTCACTGAGCAAAGGTACGGATGATCACTGGAGTGCCAATAGCTATACAAGACTATTAAAAAGTACTAGCGTCTTAGGAAATATCGATGGTCGATGAAGCATTTCGTTTCAGTTTCATCAGGAAATCAGAGTATATTCTGTTATAACAGTATAATATTTATATTTATACAATGAAACGATCACAGCGACGCAACACGGAATTTTTAACAAATTTTGTTTTATTTCAGATTCGGAATGTCCAGATCCAACAGATTTTGAAAACGGAAATGTTTTTGGTGATAGTTATGTAGTAGGATCTACGATCAAATATTCCTGTAAGGAAGGATTTATTTTGAGTGGAAATGCAACAAGATCCTGTCATGCTGATAGAAAATGGAGTGGAAAACAGCCAGTTTGTGAATGTAAGCAGAATCTGAAGTTTTTATGATACATTTCATTGGTAACCCGTATGCTTTATAGCTGAGATTGCAATCACCGTGATTCGAAAAAAACACTGCTGCGTCAACCATATAAATAGAGCAGTCATTGTATTTTAGATAGTGGTGAATTACCAAAATTCTTTTATGAGTCACCTAACATATTTCAAATGACAATCTAGAGAGCATGTAGTGATGATGTCACTAATGAAGGGCAACAATCACATTCATACAAGTGTATGGGGCAGCAACACCACAACTTTTCCACATCAAGTTTACTCTGTACTATCAGCCTCTGTACTACCCGCCAACACAAAGTTGCTGATGACGACACTCCTTACATTCTATAGCATGCTCATGTTCAGCGTATCAATACTGCAATTTTTTAATTTCTATGTCAAATTGATTCCGCGAAAATACTCAATTCAATCAAAAATACAATTTAATCAAAATCGTATTTTCCTTATTTTCATTTCATGTATCTATCGTAATTTTCAGTGGGTTGTTCTTCACCGTCCCGTGATTTCACTTCATTTCATACGCTGGAAGGAACTGGATTCCCAGTCGGAACAAAAACAACGTATGAATGTAGATTTGGTAAGAAAAGTAATTTACTGCAATAAATTTTGCTGGCAAGATATACATTTTATTTGAAAATATACATTTGCTTTACTACAATACTTAAGAAAACTATTAATTAACTAGAGCTGCTTGCAGCTTTAACAGGCTTCCCGCGTAATGCAGCCAACCGACCTCAAATATCAAGTTTGAGATCTTAATATTCAATAGTAATTGAGAAATGCGAAAAAAATGAAAATTATGCTATGTGCACTGGAGCGTGAAGCCGTGATCAGTCATGCATTAAGTCTGCAATTTATGATGGGGGACTTATTATCTGCATGTGATGTAAATTTCAAGTCTCTAAGTAGTGTCGTTCTCGAGAAGAAGATGAAAATGTAAAATCCTATATTGCTCACTGGAGCGTATCGCCGAGGTCACTCATGCGTATCCTTGACATATCGTATCCGGAACATGTCTATTAATCATTGTTATGAATTTCAACCCAATAGCATGTATCAATTTTGAGAAATCGCAAAAAATTTGAAGACGCGTTTTGCTCACTGGAGCGTGAAAGCGTGGTCAGTCATGCATAAAATTTGCAATTTATGACGGGGGACTTATTAATATCTGCATGTGATGTAAATTTCAAGTCTCTAAGTAGTGTCGTTCTCGAGAAGAAGATGAAAATGTAAAATCCTATATTGCTCACTGGAGCGTATCGCCGAGGTCACTCATGCGTATCCTTGACATATCGTATCCGGAACATGTCCATTAATCATTGTTATGAATTTCAACCCAATACCATGTATCAATTTTGAGAAATCGCAAAAAAACTGAAGACGCGTTTTGCTGACTGGAGCGTGAAAGCATGGTCAGTCATGCATAAAATTTGCATGTTATTGCTAGCTGAGAACTTCTGCACATTTAAGGTGAATTTCAAGTTTGTAGGACCAATTTGAAAAAAAAATAATAAAAATAAATAAACTAGAGCTGCTTGCAGCTTTAACAGGCTTCCCGCGTAATGCAGCCATGTAATAGAATGAGTCGCAGCTAGATAAACACTGAAGTAAAGTGTTAACTTTTTCTCTGTAACTCTTCTGGGTTCGTAAATTGACGCGTATTTGACGGGGAAACATAGCAGAGACTACGCGGACAACATTCGCCGTGAATTCATTTTTGACTCAGCAACTTGCGCTAATCGATCGTGTTCATAACTGCCTACCTCCTAACAAAATAAAAATAATGTAATAAAAAGTCAACACAATACCGAGAATGAAGTTTTATTATTTTTTTCGGGGATGACAGAAGCAAAAGCGTAAATATCTTTTTGACTATCGTTCAGACGGCGAAAATGTAAACCACAGCAGGAACAATTTCATATTAAGAAAGCGTCTAATTTCATTTTCAAGCATGTTATTAATTCACGTAGTGATTACTCTCCGCAATAAAACGCGGAACACATAGTAACATTCAGCTAACGACGCAGTAAGCGAGAGAAGCAAACACGCGAGGAAAAAACGCATCGCGATAAGCGCTCTCATTGATAAGACGATCGACGAAAGGATAATAATTCATTCCTTTGCAGAAATCGTTGTTGACAGCACTTTCTGGAATTAGTTGCTAACTAATACGGTATAACTATTATTGTGCGTAGAAATGCCACGAAAAAGATACTGGAAAAAGGCGCGTAAACGCCTTGCTCGTAAGGTAGTTACTGGCGAATTCAGCCAGTCTGATGCTAGATTTAACTTCTCCAGCCGTGGACGACAATGCATTGCAAACTGCCTGATTGCGCTTATTAAGCACGCCAATACTCGTGCAACTTTATGGCGTTCAAATGATTTGGATGAAATTCTCGTAGAAGGCGACAAACTATATCGTGGGGTCCAAGACTTTTCGGGTTATATTGACAACTATCTCATGGTCACAGAGTTGCCCTCAACTTATGAGTTGAACGACGTACTGTACGAAATAAAGTACCAGAGCCCATTAACTGGTGCTGTTGGTTCGTCAGAAGCTCCGTCCGAACATATGGTTGGCATAATGTCGCTTGCAGATGCTCTTGCAGAGACGTTTAGTAGCAGCGTATGTGCTCTCTTTACGCTGAACAGCAACACATTGGGAATAATCAAGGACGAATCGACGTACTTTGTTTTTGATCCTCATTCTCGTAATAGAGATGGTATGGTGTGCTATAATGGCACGTCAATTACGCTTGAATTTGGGTGTTTGGATGACGATCATTGTCACCTTCAAAAACTACACCGAAATATCTCGCCCTCGGAGGATTTTGCTTGTCAGTTTGAAATGGTCGCCGTCGAAATCACCCAGGTTGTTGCTGGAAATGACACAGATGTGGTACAAGAAGTTAAAAGTACTCAACACGAGATGCTTTTTTCTAGACTAAACTATGCCACAAGATTTGACATTTGTAAAAAACTGGGATTGAAAATCGAATTATTAATAGATGAAAATCCAATCAACACAAACCACTGAACGAACCTGCAAAAGTTGTTTCAGTCAAGGCAGACGGAAATTGCTTTTTCAATGCGTTATCTCATGAGCTGTCCGGAACTGAACACAATAACGCACAACTTAGGCAAGCACTTGCGCAAAATATCGAAGAAAATCCATGCGTCTTTTCAAATATTTTGCGCGAGGAATACGCGGAAGATGGGGTTGAGAATTATATCAAACAGTCCAAGATGTTTGATGACGGCACGTGGGCAACAGAAGTGGAAATATTTTCTGCTTGTGACTTACTGGCATTAGACATATACACATATATTGAAAACAGGTGGCTGAAGTATTCCAGAGCGTTACTGAATCGCAATTACGTTACGCATTCAAGGGATCGATATATTTAAATAACAAAGGTGAAAATCATTATGAAATTGTTACGGACGTCAAGAGTTGGCAGAATGGCGATGATGAGGGGGATCCGGCCATGGTTACTCAGCACGAAGTTACGAGAAATGCCGAATGGTATGAGGTGGGACACATAGAAAAGCAAACAACATCAAGTATGAGTGAAGCCGATATGCGCTATAAATTATGTGAAGAATATCGAGAGAATGTGAAAAAAAGTAGCAGGCGAAGGTATAAAACCGATCAAAACTACAACCAAAAATCAAATTTGAGAAGCTCAGCAAAATATAAATATAATGAAAGCCACAGAGAAGCATTAAAGACAAGAAGCGTAAAGAAATACAAAACTGACGTACAACACAGAGAGCAAGTTAAAACCAGAAGTGTTAAGAAGTACAAATCTAACGAAGAACACAGAGAGCAAGTTAAAACCAGAAGTGTTAAGAAGTACAAATCTAACGAAGAACACAGAGAGCAAGGTAAAACCAGAAGTGTTAAAAAGTACAAACTTGACGAAGAACACAGAGAGCAAGTTAAAACCAGAAGTGTTAAGAAGTACAAATCTAACGAAGAACACAGAGAGCAAGTTAAAACCAGAAGTGTTAAGAAGTACAAACTTAACGAAGAACACAAAGAGCAAGTTAAAACCAGAAGTGTTAAGAAGTACAAATCTAACGAAGAAAAGGCGCGAGCAAGTTAAAACCAGAAGTGTTAAGAAGTACAAATCTAACGAAGAACACAGAGAGCAAGTTAAAACCAGAAGTGTTAAGAAGTACAAACTTAACGAAGAACACAAAGAGCAAGTTAAAACCAGAAGTGTTAAGAAGTACAAATCTAACGAAGAACACAGAGAGCAAGTTAAAACCAGAAGTGTTAAGAAGTACAAATCTAACGAAGAACACAGAGAGCAAGTTAAAACCAGAAGTGTTAAGAAGTACAAATCTAACGAAGAACACAGAGAGCAAGTTAAAACCAGAAGTGTTAAGAAGTACAAACTTAACGAAGAACACAGAGAGCAAGGTAAAACCAGAAGTGTTAAGAAGTACAAACAACGAAGAACACAGGAAGCAAGTAAAAACCAGAAGTGTTAAGAAGTACAAACTTAACGAAGAACACAGAGAGCAAGTTAAAACCAGAAGTGTTAAGAAGTACAAACTTAACGAAAACACAGGAAGCAAGTAAAAACCAGAAGTGCTGAGCAGTACAAACTTGACGAAAAACACAGGGAGCAAATGAAAGCCACAAGTGTCAAGAAGTACAAACATGACGAAAAACACAGGGAGAGAATGAAAACTAGAAGCGTGAAGAAATACGATCTTGACGAACTACACAGGCAGGAAGTTAAAACCAGGAGTGCCAATAAGTACAGATTTGATTCAAAACATAACCAACGTGTCAGAAACGTAGCTCAAAAGAAATACTGGTGCAGTAAACGCGATATGTCAGCTAAAAATTCTATTGAAAAATTCAGAAAGTCGATAAAATGTGGACCAGATTGCGTATGCTGCATATGCATTCGATCGTTTTTCCGTAAAAGCGTTATCGTATACAAAAGAAATAAGTATAAATGCGGGAACATCAGTACAAAATATAAGCACAAATGTAACACTTTTTGCACGAAGCCCTGTGGATTTGTTAACGCAAGGAATATTTGGATATGTCATACTTGTAGCAGCAAACTCAAGAGTGGTAAAGTTCCTGTCGAAGCGTTGGACAACAACATGCTTGTAGAGGAAGTTCCGCCCGAGTTAGCGAGACTAAACTCAATTGAGCGCCATCTAATCTCGCTACATATTCCTTTCATGAAAATAAGTCAGTTGCCCAAAACTCGCCAATACGGAATTCATGGTCCAGTGATATGTGTACCTTCCAATGTCCAAAAAACGGTTACCGTCCTACCACGGGTGAGAGTGGATGACCAAATGTTGACAATTAAACTAAAAAGAAAACTTTCATACAAGGGTTACTATGATTACCAAGTTGCAGATAAAGGTAACCTAAGGGACGCCATCATGTGGTTAAAAGAGAATAATGATTTTTACACTGATGTAACGTTTAACGAAATCTGGAATCCTGACATAAACCTACGTGAAGAGGAGGAAGATGAAGAACTGTTGGAGGCACCTTCCGAAGATGTTATTATATCAGATGCCACTCTTGACACTTGC